CCCAGAGCTGGTCGTCCGGCCGATCGCCAAAGGGATCCAAATTTCTACGGACACTACCCGTGAAGAGCGTCGGCTCCTGAGGTATGATTGATATGCGACGCCTCAAGTCGTGCAGACCAATGGCGCGCACGTCGACCCCGTCGATGAGTACCTGTCCCTCGGGTTCGGTGAGTCTGAAGAGGGCTGATATGAGGGACGACTTTCCGGCACCCGTTCTGCCGACGACTCCTACCTTTTCGCCGCCTTTCAGGCAAACAGTGACTCCTTTGAGGACTTTATTCGCCGATTCGTTGTACCGAAGGCTCATATCCTTCAGCACTATTTCACCGTTTTGTGGCCAATCGGGAGGAGGTTTCCGGTCGGCCGTGGACTCGAGCGCAGCCTCCGGTGTGATCCTCGAGTACTCGACAATACGCTCGACGGCTGTCATATGGGACTCGAGATCGGCCGAGCATTTGATGGCGTATTGAGTCATTCCCGTCAGCGTTAAGGCTATCATCAAATAAATTGTTTTTAGCAAAAGTTAGAAAATATATAATATATTACTGCATATGAATCGATCAATTTAAAAACCTGGTTTCTCAATATTGAAACACAATGTATTAAACCATTAATTAATAAAATACAGCGGTTAATAGTTGAATACGTAGTGCTTGAATATAGAGAAAACCAGTTATTACATCGATTCATATAATTTATAGTAATAAACGATAACAATGGATACGATACCTGACGACAAAACAAGGCCCGCGTATCCATCGGTAATGCCTACAAAACAATTTAGTAATATATATCTCAAACACTAATAACCGGTGTATATATAATATTATATGGTGTTCAGTACTAACCATCGGATCTCATAATAAAAGCGACGACAGCACTGATATAAAAGATACAAATCCAGTCCATAAGGAAAGCGAAAGCTCTGGCGGTGACGATGAGTAGGAAGGAGGCGGAAGTGTTGTCATTTTGGTGGCACTCAAACTGGCGCTCAAACACATCCTGTGCCCCAAACGCCCGGATGGATGTCAGACCCGTTAGTGTTGTATTCACGTGCGAATAGACAGGACTCCGGGCTTTTGGTCATAAATTTAATGAAATAGTTTTAGGATAGAAATACCATTTATTAACATCTAGGTCAACTATGGTTTTTACGTACACATCCCCTCCAAGCGTTTGATATCACGGGCCGCCCTAATGTAGAAATAGCGACCCATAAACACCAATAGTAACAGAAGTGCGGCCGGAAATACCAGGTACCAATTGACAATAGCGTTGACAATAAGGTTTCCGATTACCAGTAATATTGACTATAAATTAAAGAATATTATTTTCATAGTTGACCTTTCCGTAAAAATCATTATTGATAAAGTAATAAATACTATAATAAAATCAAAAGCAATTGAGGGCAGGAGCTCATCGACAATACCCGTGTCTTTTGTAAACCTATTTAGTATACGTCCTGACAGACCAAACATAGGATTAGTATTAGAAATTAATAATAATTAATTGTTTTTGTGATTATCAGTAAATATATAATTCACAACATACAGAATACGGGTGAATATTTTTAAATACAAACTTAATAAATAAACATAATCATTGAAATATTCAAAATAATAAACAATATGTGATACTATGATTATGTTATGTATACAGTTTGCATTCAAAATATATAAACCGGATTTCTGCACGTTGTGGATCATATCCTACTAACCAATGGGTTGACTATCAAAGAAACTGATGGGAGCTCTCAAGAGCGCATAGAATATACTGTTGTATAGCTTTACCGACGATCGCATACACATCACGTAAAAACATGCGGTGCTTATGAGCGCCGATAGCAATAGGGCTGCGATTAGACACGAATACATTAGATTGAACGTCTCGTCCGCGGGTTTGGCATCACTTTCAGCGTTTGTCCTCTCATTGCAAACAAATAATTATAGTTTTAGTATTCAATCATATTATACACCAATATGTGGTGCAAACCAACGGGCGAGCCATATATCCCCGCCCTGGTATAGCACCTGAACGGTAATTGCGGACAAAACGGTGACTATGAAAAGCGAGGGTCCGGCGCCCGCTTTTGTGTACTCCCAGTACACACTCGTCTCGACAGATCCGGTCATTTTGGTCTCCGATTTAACCCTCTGTTCCTCCCCTTCCTCTTTGTTGTCCACTATATCGACGTTATTGTCATTTCCGGTCACAACTGATCCCTCGCCGACACAACGGGAAATGGGTGGCGAGGAAGGGACGGATCTATTCACACGTCTGTACGCAATGTTTGGGTCGGGTTTATGGTGTAGGTCTTCATTAGGTTTATGGGATGACATGAGGTTAATGCCGGACGCCATGAGCTCATCATACGAGCCCAGAGCCACACATTTGCCGTCGGCGAGCACCAGTATCTTATGTGCGTCTCTGAGGAACTGGATCTGATGGGTGACTAATATGCGGGCCTTGTCTTTGAGGTATTCCATACAACACCTGTTGTTTGAAAATATAGACAAACAAGTTAGTGTGACCAGATGTCCATTTTTGCACTGTATTGTCCAGTTTTAAAACTTGGATTAATTCTAATATTGTCTCTTTTCATACAATTGTCCAGTTTTAAACAAAATATTGAAAAAATATCTGGTCAGCCTAGCAATAACTTGTTTTCTTAATATTGAAACACAATGTATTAAACTTTTAATTAATGAAATACAGGAGTTTATAGTTGAATACATAGTGTTTGAATATAGAGAAAACCTGTTATTACATCCATTCATATAATTATAATAATAAACGATAACAAAGGATACGATACCTGACGACAAAACAAGGCCCGCGTATCCATCGGTAATGCCTACAAAACAATTTAGTAGTATTATACCTGTATATCTCAAACACAAATAACCGGTATATATATGGTGTTCAGTACTAACCATCGGAAGTCATAATAAAGGCGACGACAGCACTGATATATAAGACACAAATCCAGTCCATAAGGAAACCGAAAGCTCTGGCGGTGACGATGAGTAGGAAGGAGGCGGAAGTGTTGGCATTTTGGTGGCACTCAAACTGGCGCTCAAACACATCCTGTGTCCCAAACGCCCGGATGGATGTCAGACCCGTTAGTGTTGTACTCACGTGCGAATAGACAGGACTCCGGGCTTTTGGTCATAAATTTAATGAAATAGTTTTAGGATAGAAATACCATTTATTATCATCTAGGTCAACTATGGTTTTTACGTACACAACCCCTCCAAGCGTTTGATATCACGGGCCGCCCTAATGTAGAAATAGCGACCCATAAACACCAGTAGTAACAGAAGTGCGGCCGGAAATACCAGGTACCAATTGACAATAGCGTTGACAATAAGGTTTCCGACTACCAGTAATATTGACTATAAATTAAAGTATATTATTTTCATAGTTGACGTTTCCGTGAAAGTTATTATTGATTAAGTAATACATACTATAATAAAATCAAAAGCAATTGAGGGCAGGAGCTCATCGACAATACCCGTGTCTTTTGTAAACCTATTTAGTATACGTCCTGACAGACCAAACATAGGATTAGTATTAGAAATTAATACTAATTAATTGATGTTGTGATTATAATTCACCACGTACAGAAAACGGATGTATATTTTTGAATACAAACTGCAAACATAAGCATAATCTTGGAAATATTCAGAATAATAAACAATATGTGATGACTACACTATGAATGCAATGATTATGTTATGTATACAGTTTGCATTCAAAATATATAAACCGAATTTCTGCACGTTGCGGATCATATCGTACTAACCAATGGGTTGACTATCAAAAAAACTGATGGGAGCTCTCAGGAGTGCATAGAATATACTGTTGTATAGTTTTACCGACGATCGCATACACATCGCGTAAAAACATGCGGTGCTTATGAGCGCCGATAGCAAAAGGGCTGCGATTAGACACGAATACACCATTAGACTAAACGTCTCGTCCACGGGTTTGGCATCGCTTTCGGAGTTTGTCCTCAAATTGCAAACAAATAATTATAGTTTTAGTATTCAATCATATTTAACACCAATATATGGTACAAACCAACGGGTGAGCCATGTATCCCCGCCCTGGTATAGCACCTGAACTATAAATGCGGACAAAACGGTGACAATGAAAAGCGTAGGCCCAGCGCCCGCTTTTATGTACTCCCAGTACACACTCGTCTCGACAGATCCGGTCATTTTGGTTTCGGATTTAACCCTCTGTTCCTCCCTTTCCTCTTTGATGTCCACTATATTGACGTTATTGTCATTTCCGGTCACAACTGATCCCTCGCCGACACAACGGGAAATGGATGGCGAGGAAGGGACGGATCTATTCACACGTCTGTACGCCATGTTTGGGTCGGGTTTATGGTGCAGGTCTTCATTAGGTTTATGGTATGACATGAGATTAATGCCGGACGCCATGAGCTCATCATACGAGCCCAGAGCCACACATTTGCCGTCGTCGAGCACCAGTATCTTATGGGCGTCTCTGAGGAACTGGATCTGATGGGTGACTAATATGCGGGCCTTGTCTTTGAGGTATTCCATACAACACCTGTTGTTTGAAAATATAGACAAACATATAAAACATTTCAATAATGAATGACAAAGTGTTGCTATACTTCTGGAAGAGATGTTTGGCCACATGTATGTCCACTGCGGACAGGGGGTCGTCCAGGAGGTAGATGTCTGCCGAGTGATACAAAGCGCGGGCCAGACTCACGCGCGCCCTCTGACCCCCACTTAACGACACCCCCCGCTCTCCCACCAGCGTTTGGTCTCCAAAGGCTAACCGTTTGAAATCCCTGTCCAAAGCGCACGCCTTCACCAAATCAAAACTTCGTTTTATTGATTCCTTGAGATCATTAAGTGTTTTAATCTCTACTTTATAAACTTCACCTAGAAATTAAATTAACGAGATTAGAATAATGTAGGTAAGGGAAGTCGGCAAGGCTGACTATACATGAATGACAAAGTGTTGCTATACTTCTGGAAGAGATGTTTGGCCACATGTGTGTCCACTGCGGACAGGGGGTCGTCCAGGAGGTAGATGTCTGCCGAGTGATACAAAGCGCGGGCCAGACTCACGCGCGCCCTCTGACCCCCACTTAACGACACCCCCCGCTCTCCCACCAGCGTTTGGTCTCCAAAGGCTAACCGTTTGAAATCCCTGTCCAAAGCGCACGCCTTCACCACTCGATTGTACTTCTCTTCCATATATTGAGAGCCGAAGACAATGTTCTGTCGGACACTCCCTATGAAAGCCCACGACTCTTGCGGGGCGTACGACACCCGACCCCTCACTCCCACAGAACCCGACTCCAGGGGTAACTCATTCAGGATTGACAGCAATAGTGAACTCTAATACCGAATATATAAAAGGCATTCAATTATTTTATATAAAATTTCAAATAAACTTAATTTACATGCCTTTCCACTGCCTACTGATCCCACGATAGCCAACAGTTCTCCCGGTTTGACACAAACAGAGATGTCTTTAAGGGTTGGCTCAACACTTTCCTAAGGAATGACACCTTTTTAACCACTCATTGAGTAATTAATGAGAGAATCAATGCATTCATACATCACTCCAACGAGCGGTGAGTTTATCAACGAAAACGCCTTTCTCTCCATCGTTTACACACTTTCCCATTGTCTCAGTCCTACCATTCATTGCATTTTGAACATCAATCGTAACCATTTCATCGAGTAATAAAAATTTCTAAATTTAATTTAAAAATCATTAATTTATGCAAAAATGAAACAATTGCTCTTAAACTGTACTGAATATGCAAAAATATAGCTTATTTATTCAATTCTGTTTATTAATGGTATTATAGTAAAAATTGATCCACAACGTGCATAAAACCAGAATCTATTCTTGAAAACAAAGTGTATCCATCACATAATCATTCAATTCATAATATACAATCTGATATGTGGTACTATGAATGTAATAATTATGTTATGCATATAATTGCATTCAAAAATACATACAGATCTTCTGCACGTTGCGGATCAATTGGATTATAAATACCTGTATTCTGTTGATGACAACCATGAGCTCTGCCGTGGCGGCCACACCACTCGGAAAGAATTTGGTGACCGACCAGCGCATAGTATTGAAGAAAGACATGGACACAAACACCACTTCCGCCGACAACTTCCTACCCATCAATATATACGTCAGAAAACACACGAATAGTATGATTCGGACGGTTATTATAGACAGCGATAGGTTAATGCCTTTTAGAAAACTCGATTGCCTTATGCCGTGAATCTCTTTTCTGTACAAATTAAATCATATTTGTTATATGAATTGATCAATGTAATAACCCATTTTTTGAAATATTTAAACACTATGTATTGAACTATAGGTACTGGATAATATCAAGTACGATATTGTATTAGCTGTAGTCAATAGTTCAATACATAGTGCTTGAATATAAAGAAAACCGGTTATTAAATTGACCGGTTCATATATGTAACCTGGGTAGTTTTAAATAAGGTATACCTTCGCGCCTCGGAGACTAACTGCGCGAATGGCTGCTCCCAGGCGTACATTTTGATGACTCGCATACCCGATATAATTTCGGACATTAGTTTGATCCGGGTATCCGTTAATTTAGCCGTATTTCGTCGCGCCCTTTGAAACATACGTCCCATTAATAGCTGGAAAGGTATGAACAATAATAGGACGGCCATCCCGGCCAGACAGGCCCACTCCATGCGCTCCCAAAGCAGGTATATAACGAGTGCCGAGTGAAGTGGTGCCACAAATAATGATTGTAAGAAAAATGCAAACTATTTATACGAATGAATAGCTGTTAATAGCGTTTTCATTAAACACTAATCAAATCGCTAGTAAATGAATACCTCATCAAAACGGTTGACATCGTTGGACATCATGTTAATGATCTGACCCACAGGTGTCTGTCCCAGCGATGAATGACTTAATCTCATTGCCTGATCATAAGGCAAATTTTAGATAAATATGCACATATTTAGTTTTAAATCAACAGGGATATACTGTACAGTACAGTACAAAATCAATAATATCGTAGAGATCTAGATTGAAATGTTTTATAATTATAATTCTAAATACTAAAAATATTCATGTTTATAATTTAATACCCAGTATATCCTGCATAAAATACCTGACCCACTCCATGCGCTCCCAAAGAAGGTATATAACGAGTGCCGAGTGAAGTGGCGCCACAAATAATGATTGTAACAAAAATGCAAACTATTTATAAGTATATGAATAGCTGTTAATAGCGTTTTCATTAAACACTAATCTAATCGCTAGTAATGAATACCTCATCAAAACGGTTGACATCGTTGGACATCATGTTAATGATCTGACCCACAGGTGTCTGTCCCAGCGATGAATGACTTAATCTCATTGCCTGATCATAAGGCAAATGTTAGATAAATATGCATATATTTAGTTTTAAATCAACAGGGATATACAGTACAGTACAGTACAAAATCAATAATATCGTAGAGATCTAGATTCAAATGTTTTATAATTATAATTCTAAATACTAAAAATATTCATGTTTATAATTTAATACCCAGTATATCCTGTATAAAATACTTCTATATTATACAATATTCTTATTGTAACAAGCTCACAGTTATATTCATTGTATTTGTGACATAAGTAAATTTATAATAAAAGCCCACTTATAGTATACAATGATTTAAGGCACCTGCCTTATAGAACTGGTAGCCTAACCTCCCGTTCCCTTTAATACGGTGTATTCACTGACCTTTCGATACATGAGTGCACAACAGGCGGCCCTCATTCTGAGACCCACTCTCATGAGGTAAACAAAGTCGATGTGATTGGATGTCACGAAATATGCCGAACACACGACTATACCCACCGCCGAAATGGTCGCATGTCTGGAGCTAACAGAGCCCTCGGTCTGGAAATAGTGCACAACGTGTCCCAGAAGTACGCACTGACACACTCTTACCGCTTCCTGTATGCCAACAATGAATTCATGTTTAAAATAATTTTTAAAATATTTAATATTTATATTGTATTTTATATAACACTTTGTAACTCTTAATAACAATATTTAATATAATTTATATTATAAATAGCCATTAGTAACGTTAATAAGTATTATTTGTAGCTCATGTATGTTAAGCTATGGTTTATAAATAAATATACGAACCACAAAAGCATAGATAATAATCAATGGTACAAACGAAAGGGCATACGTCCTAAACAGTGCCCAAAAGAAACTTGGTCGTTTCTTTTGTAACTCACGATTCCATTGACTAAATTAGGAAATGTTAATATGTTTTGTTAAAATGTTTGCTTGATACAATATTCGTCAGTACATTTCGAGTGTATTTCGCAATTTATCGGTTTCATCATCTGTTGAGCATCGGTACAGGTCTCCGAAGTCCAGGTCCTTTTTGTGGGCGTCTAGGAATACACCCCAAACCCAACTTACAGTTGTTTGGGAGTCATAAATATTGGTAAATATTATGCTAATATTTACACACAATATTTTAATTTAGTGTACCTGAATGTGACCTTGGACAAAAATGAGACCCTATCCCATGGCGAGGGTCGGGTCACTAATTTAATTGTTTCCATTATAATCGCTATTATTAATGAAAATATTTTCCAATTAACACTATTTTAATAAGTTAAAAATATTTATACTATTTTATATAAAATAGTTATATAATAATTTTAATAACATGTAAACCTAATAGTTTGTAGATATTTAATAGCAACAAATATGAAGTAATTAAATGGTCTGTAGTCTAGTGGAGGGACTCATATGTCAAGTGCTGAGGTTTTCATATCAGTTGACAACCAGTAGTGTTCCCAAATCCAAAAATCAAATTCCTTGAGAATTATTATTTTTACCCCAAAAATGTCCTTAATTTCCATTATTTCTCAAAAATTGCTCATAAATTTCCTTGAACCATAAAATTGTCATATTAAAAAATATTTCTTTGAGCATATGACCGATTTTTTGAAGGCCCTGCTTGAACCTTGAGACTTTAGAACGCTAATTACTTGTAAAAGGGTCCCGGACTGCAAATCAAGCTGTCGATCGCATTACTTCGCATTAATTAGATAATATTATTTTATTTTTTAAACATTTAGTCAATTCATAATGTTAATTATGTTACTAGCTAACTATTCATGGCATATAAACCGTCAATTTACTTTGGTCTCATAATGTTCCCAACTAAACATTAAGTTACTATTTTTGTTGTAAACTAATAATAAGTCTTTAAATTAAGATAAATATATATATCATTTTTTAAACATAATTTAACTTAATTTTAATAAAATAAATCATATAAGAATGTATGAGTATTTTTATTAATAAATAATTACATAAAATTTATATAAATTATAAAATAGTTATTATAAAATCTATATTAAATCGTTAATCATTAAATTATTAATTATGAAATAATGTTAAAAATTATCATCTCTTTAATATAGATGATAAATAATTTTTAAAAAATAACTTTCCATTCTTAACACCATAGTAGTCATCACTGAGTTGCGGAACAATGTAGTCTTTATTTCTTTGACTCACATCCCTTTCCCTAATCTCGATTTCCGTCGCATGAATACTATCTAATGTGGACTTAAATTGTGTATAATTTGCAACAATATTTTTATCGATAGACCAATTATCATAATCGACATAAATCTGACTACACTCTGGTCTGTCTGTCCAGTGTCTGTCCATCATTGTTTTGAGAATATTCTTTAAACGAGCTACCGGTGCGTTTAAATGTTCGTCTGTTGTTGAATAGTCTTGTTGACTAATGTTTAAATTTTTAATTAAAACAGTTAATTTTTATAAGAATTATTAAACATTACTTTTCCAATCCTATTAGCACGTCAATGTCAAATAAATCTCCACAAGTAACCGCCAGGCTGTAGATATCACATTTATTGTCATATTTTTTACCATGACCGACTTCGGTTGCCATATATTTTATTGAGCCCACGTCAGCCGTGTGTTGGTAGATAGTTAAATAATGAACACTATTATCGTGTTCAGTAACCAATCCGCAATCACATAACTTTATAATTCTACCGTTTGTCATATAATCGCAAATCAATATATTGTCGGGTTTGATGTCTCTGTGAATGATCTGTGGATTCAATTCATGCAAATACTGAACACATTCTAAGATCTCACGAAATATTTCACACGAAATGAGATATTCGTATGAATTCATTGGTTTATTAAGTTCCCTTTTGAATACTTGTGGTTTGATTTCCAGAATATTCGTCAAATTCTGTGAACACATCTCAAACTGAATGTAAACACAATGCAATTCTCGCCACGAATCCAAACACTGAACGACATATTTGGGATCAAATCGTTGTAAATATAAGACTTCTTTATATAAATTTCTTTTTTGTTTCTCATTTAAATCTATTATAAAAATTACAGTAATTTAAATGTACAAGATTTTTACATATAAGTATAAAAACTATATGAAAATTACCTTGACTTATAAAATCTATCACTTTAACAGCATAAACTTTGTTAGTTTGTTTATCTTTCACTCTAATTACATAACCAAAACCACCCGATCCAATAGGGGACTGTGTTTCGAATTTTTCCACGAAATGGTCCATGCTCACTTTAATTATGGAATCATCATCGACAATCATTTGTAATTTTGTAGATAAATATACATAGAAGAAATGTGGATCACGAAATTTCAAATTCTTTAATATGTTAAGCAAATCCGTATTCTTTGTAAAAATATTTTTATCTATAGACCACTTGGTATATTTTGCCAACATAACTTTGCAACTCAGTCTTGTTTGCCAATCATTGTCCATCATTAATTTTAAATATTTCTTCAATTTTATTTTATATGTTGAAACTATATTGTCTGTGACATTTTTAGTCTGCCTAAAAATAATGTCAATTTGTATTAACTATTGTATAAAATAAATAAAATTCTTGTAATTTAGACATAAAACAAGTGTAAACTTAAACTTTGTTTTTCTAAGTCTGATATAATGTTAAATAATATTGTTTAAATTATATAAACCTTAACGTACAAGTCAGACGTAAGTTCAAAAGTGTGTTCAAAAGAATTTATACTAGTATATGAGAGGGAACATTCTAAATCATTCAATGTGCCTATGAATTCAGACTGTAATCAATATATTGAATATAATACTATACTCATGTTTCATTATTTCAATTAAAAGTTTACATAATTATTAATATTAACTATTTTAATTATAACTTATTTGTTATCTAAACGGAATATTTTATTAATTGTATTTTATTTATCAAATTTAATTAATAAATCACATCGAATGATTCAGAATTGGCCTTTTAATATAATACATTAGTATACAACTTTAGTGAGTATACTATTTACAGTCAACAATTACGTTTGTCTTGCATGTAAAAGTTCATATGAAAACAAAGTTCATGTATTTAATGGCTTACTTAATACAGAAATGATAGTTAACAAGTATAATTTAATGTTTACTAATTTCTATGAAATTGAAAACGGTTTTGTGCATTTACATTTTAAAAGTATCTGTAGTGTCCACCATGTCAAATAATTCATAACCAATTAATGCCAAGTTATATATATCAGATTGAACAAATTGACCACCACTGTTATTTACTTCCGGTGCTTGATAAGATCTTGATACTAGTATATCATTTGCGGCACACAATTTAATAAATCTATCATTTCTAACGTTATTTGTTATTAAAATGTTCTCTGGTTTGAGATTACTGTGAATGACCGGTGGATCCAATTCATGCAAATATTGAACACATTCTAAGATTTCACGGAATATTTCGCACGAAATGAGATATTCGTATGAATCCATGTGTTGTCCCGATTCTCTCCAAAAATATTTTTGTTTGAGTTCAATAATATTGCGGAGGTTATGGGAACACAACTCCATTTGAATGAAAAGTTTGTTGCATTCCACCCAACTATTGTAATACTCGACCACATATTGTAATTCTAGAATTTTGATCTCTTTAATATTTAGCCAATGAATATTATTATCAGGTACGCCTGGAAATAATATTAATTTGTTATAATTTAAAGTTCCTATTGTTAGAATTTTGTATGATAAATAAATTAAATTAAGACTAATAATTATAATAAAATTAACCTTTTAATTTAATTTGCTTAACAGCGTAACACTTTTGATCATGTAAATTTTGCATTTTGTAAACAGTGCCAAATTTTCCCGAACCGATTGTCGAAATCATCCTAAAATGACTCAATTGTAATCTGTTGTTATAATCACGCAACAGTTGTGCCGCCCGGTGCTGACCCGACTGCGACAATATATCCACCAACTCTTGACTGTTTTGGCCATCGCTTGAAAATTGAGACAATATTTGGCGCTTTATTGAGTTTTGCACCAAATCTGAACAATTCGGTATACATGGCTTTAAGATGATTAAAGGTTAATAATTTTTAAATGGTCTTGTTATAGATAATACAATATGACTGACAATTGAAGGTATATTTGTCATAATGGCAATTAAATATGAGGTTATGCTTAAAAGTATCCTAATAATTTGTATAAAATTATAGGAATAGTCACTAATGCTGGTGTTAAGGTTTTCGTCAGTTATAGTCAAGGTAAATTTGGAGTATATAACTGTAATATAGTACATACTCTATGGTCGTACGATCGAATCCCGGTGAGGGCAAATATTTTTTTGTGTATTAATTAATTAATTTTTATATTTTATTTTAGTTTTATTTACTTTTTAATAAAAATTATTCATAAAAAATATTTGAAATTATCTAGATTATATTATTTATTAATTAATTTTTATAAATTGAATTGATGTAACATTCACAAATATTGTGTACTGTAAAGTATTTTTAATTATTTGAACACAGTTATATACACTAAATTTACCTTGACCATAACCAGTGGTCGAGTGCACCCATACGAGTAAATGTTCTCGCA